CCTTTAGCCACACAACACACCTACCCTCAAACAAAACACTCACTAGGCTACAAAACCCCAGGCTAGCCTCGCCTCGTGTACAATACTAAGTAGTCCCTCCAAATTATTTCCTTCTTTTGCATTTTATCTGTTCAATAGCAGTAACTCATACTTTTGTGTTTGGAAAGCTCTGCAGTGTTACGGAGACAACAGGAAACGCAACGGACTTGCTGACCTCTTGGAGCTCTGTTTAAGGCTAAACCAGGCCTGTTCCTTTCGGTCTTGCTGGAAACTGCCATAGTTATTTTGGTAGAGATGCAACAACTTCGTTCTAGATCTTTTGTTTCTCTCAGTTTTGGAAGGGACAGATTGTTTTTCATGGCAGGTAAAATTTCATCCAAGGCCGTTGCTATCAATGTGAAGGTAGAGGTATGACGTTAAAGGCAATTTTCTCTTACTTCCATGGCCTGCAGGAAGCAGTATGACAGCAAAGCAGCGTACTGAGGCTGGAATTGGGGGTTGGGAGTTTTCCTTTATATTCCCAGTTGATGGCAAGAGCTCGGACCCCATAATCCGCCCCTCACAAACCAGAGACAACCTGCTTGTACCTCACTAAACACGGGTTTTCCTAATCTGCTTCTCAAGTCTGTATAGTAAGTGCTATGATGTGAAAACACCTGTTTTGAAGAAGACAACAATATTAAAGGTAAAAACCTCCCATGAGAAGGTTTCAAAGCAGCGAGGACAAAGGCAGGTAAAACGCAGCGTTATTCTAAAAGGCTGTGGTGAGTACGGGGAGAAGGGAAAGGAGCTGCAGTCATGGTGGACCCATCCGCTATGAAAGCACAACTTTAATAGCAAACCTTCTGTTATTAAGTGCTCATGAAAAAGGATATAAATTAAATTTAAAAGTGGTTGAACTAAAAATGGAGCTGTAGTTGTGATTTAACAACAGTGGGAGTGCTGAATTAGTGCAGTTAAAAACCATCATGCACGTTTGTGCTTACACAAAGAAAGGAAGGTTTCAACAAGCACTGCAGAGCAGAGAGGGAGGAGGAGGAGGGCTGATCGGCCGACAGCACAGCTACCCTTTGGTTTCTTCTACACGTAAAGTCCAAGGATGTAAAGCAAGAGCTCTGTAAAATGCTGAAGATTTTAGAAGTGTAATGGCGGGTAGAAAAGTACACTGGTCTTGTATCAGTGGCAGCCCCAGTGTTAGGAGACAGTCTAGGCTTCTAGGAGGAGAAAATAGAAGAGAGGAAAAGAAGTAGGAGAGGGAAACGGGATGGGGAAAGGGGCAAAAAAGCGCAAGTCATTAGTAAACATGAACATTCAGGTAGCACACTGCACAACAAGCAATATTTCATTTCGTGCAGCCAGGACATTTGCCAAAAGCCAGATTAGAGACACGTGGAATTTTGCTTTTAGAAGTGTTTGAGAACCCATCGCTAGTCGTGCTACGGCACGACACCGTGCCACGCGCACCAGGTAGCGGGGATAAATCCAGACCAGCGACAAAGCGCTGCCAAGAGAGCAGCGGCTCAGGATGCTGCCTGCAAGCGCAGTTTGCACAGAAAACCGCGACAAGGTATTTCTGTGACCCAGGCTCAGCTGGCAGAGCGACAAGCAGGCTGGCTGGAGAGCAAGTCCCGCTAGGGAAGGTACGGACACCGAATAGCGATGCTTCCCAAGGTGACTTCTCATCTTCCAGCAAGATAACGGACAGGCTCTCGGAACAAGAGCTATCCAGATCAAACCGTATCACATCACCGTATGATCATCCTTGATGGATTTTGTTCCAGAAATTTGTCTTTTTTAAAATAACAGAATTCCTTTGAACTCTAGGCAAATATCCTGCAGTAAGAAGTTGCAAATGTTGCACAGTTTGAAAATTACACGTATATTTTCAGTTTTAAACCTGCTGTTGGGTTTACCGAGCACCCCCTAACCTGTGCATGGTGAAAGCTGGCAGTTCGTTCCCCAGCTCGGTACCTGCACGCCATCAGTGATCATAAGCTATTGATTTCCCCACACCCTCCCTGCTTCACTTGAGTTGCACCAGATGTGCACAGCCTCCCTCCGAACGCTGCACCACCCGCTCGTCTGTTCATCCTTATAAGGAAGAACAGATTTAACGGGGAGTTTCAGTCTGTGTGCTCAGTACCCACGCCAGAGCTCCCCGTCTGTAGCTCTCAAATTCTCAAAAAACCAAAACCCCACAAACCAAAGCAGCCACGGCCACACAGGGCTCAGCACTGCCAAGAACCGAGCCCTTTGAGAAACTGCCAGGCTCTCCCTTTTGGGGAAGGCGAAGGGGCGCAGAGGGCTCAGCCTCGCGGCCGCAGGTTGGACCCGCAGGTAAACAGCCAACATAAAGTCAACTGTTCATGCTGTTCCTTTACCTTCTGAAATACCAAACAGCTGCACCCCTGCATCAAGGGTTTAAATGCCTCACTGTTACAACAAAAATAATTCAACAGTTAACAGAGGGGTTTGCCCCTGAGCTGCGTTAGTTTGGGGTTGATGCCACCTACTACATTACCGGCATTTCGGAGTGGGGCATCCGGTCAGGAGCCAGCACGGGCTGCCAAGCCAGCACTGAGATTTCAGACCTGACTAATTCCAACCCCTGCATACACCCCCGAGATGTCTGTAGATAACGTTGCAGTAAAACACTGGCAAGTCATCACCCTGTTTTATCTGATAGGTGAAAAAAACCACACAGCAAGGCTTCCTCTGAGGGAGGCCAGAGAGCCAAGCAGACATTTGTCCTTCCAAACACCTTAACTACATCTTTCCCCAAGACTTTCCCTGCAGTCTCTTTCAGAATCCAACTCAAACACAGCTCTGCTTTTAAAAGCTCACTCTGTAGCTCTTAACACTGCTTCTTGTAGCAAAAAGCTGCCTGCCTTGAGCAGCACCTTCCTTAGTCCCCCCTCAGCTACTCCGTTTCCCACCTCTGCACTGGGCCCACCTGGCACAGCCAGAAGAATCATGTCGGCTTTAAAAAGACAGATTAGGGAACAGACCCAGCTGAAAACAAATAAGCCAGACAAAAACCGAGGGTGGCTCAGGGTCAGGGACGAAAGGCTTTCAGCAGCCCCACCTATTAAACCCAGACCCAGGCACTACTGAAGCCCCTCACCTGGTCTGGAACAACTTGTCTGTATTTCTGCAGAGCATCAACTGCTCTTCAACTCTGAAAAGCCTCCACTATCTGATCGAAAATTAGCATTTCTCCCTTCCTCTCCAATGTGTAAGCATGGATCCTTCAAGTATTCCACAGAGAAGGGGGTAGGGGGAAGGAGCCTGGGAGGTAGTTGTGTTGTGTAAATCTTCTGTTATTCTGGTAAACCTAATTAACTTGATGCCTATGACTTCATCCTTTGACATGCTGTTTCTGCCACTTTGATGTCACTTTTAGACAGCCTTTATCAAGAAAAAAAAAATCCAACTCTACCCCACAAAGATGGAACATATTAATAAATTAAAAAGGTTCAGACACATAAAAGTATCTTTGATCAAAGTTGTTAGCAATTAGTGTGTGAAGAGTTAAACCTCCAGAAAGCTAGAATTAAGTAACAAGGAATTTTTTAAACACAATTCAAAAGTTCAATATAAAAAATCCCAATGCATTTAGTCAGTCATACCTAGAGTATCAGAAATCTGATTTTATTTCTACCTCCTTTTAGTTATACATATTAAAAAGAAAGAGGGGAAGCATCCCTGGGAAGGTTCAGGAGTTTTCTTAATTTCAGTTTTATACTAAATTATAAAAGCAGCGCAGCTTCTTTCGACCAGATTTACAACAGCAAATTAAGCACAAAATCAGTTTTTATATTCCCATCCTCAGTAAGAACGTGAAACTTGCTCACACTCTGAACAGAGCGATGGCAAAAGAAGTGTTTTAATTCATCCCTGTCTCCCACCCCCGTACATTCATCACTATCTCCCAGATTATTTTTTTTTCTTGGGGCCGCACCTATGGACTAGCGGGGATGCTAATGCTGGGATCACCCCAACAACCTTCGCAGCGAGCTGCACTGCTAAAGCTGAGCTGGAGATCACGACACGGGAGATGAGATAAATAGCTCTTACCAACGCCAGGATGGCTATCAACTTCTGAGCAGGTTATCCTCAAGAACACAGAGGTGCTCCTGTCCAAAGGCGCACCCTCCTCACCGCAAAAGGGAACACAACGCGCTGCTCACGCACACAGTCGCAGAGTTGGCACTGCTCATCCTGAACAGCGCCGTTGCGATTTGGTAGGAAACCCCACTCATAGTAAGAAAGTGTCATAAAAGGGAACTGGTGTTTATCATTCCATGTAACTGCTAAAACAAGACTAAATTCAACATCTGTTAGGCTGACGGGGAAGATCGGTTACTTCCCAGATTCCTCACAACTTTGAAATACTGCTCCAGTTCGGTCACGACAAGTCTCTTGCAGACAAAGCTGTCCTAATGCTCTGAAAAAAAGGTTCGGAAGACCTCAATTTCAGCCCTGACACTGCTAAGGCAAATATCAGGAGATATTTACAGAAGGGTAGTTTGGGGTGGAAGGAGAAGCTGCAGGATAAACAAAGCAGTGTCCTTTCAGCAGCAGCTAAGAAGTAGTGAGTGAAAAAACTGCAAAGGATGGTGTACTCAGAGGAGGAACATCACTGTCAGTCTCATGGGGAACAGAAGAAGTCGTTCTCACAGGTTAGAGTTCAGCTACGAATATTATGGAGTGCCTGGAAAGCCGCTTAGGTATTGGTGCCCTAGATGTTGCCTTCCCAACCCTGACCATGGATCAAGTATAAGTGTCTTCAGAACGAGGCTTTATGCAAATAAGCCATTTCAAAGAGAATGAAGTTCTACTTGGTTTCTAATTCTTTGAAAAGATCATTGAAAACACAAAGCCAACCCCCCATGGAGAAATACGACTCAAAAAGAAGATGCATTTTGTCACAGTGAGGGTTTACTGGTCCAATACGAACTAAGAAGTAGCTGTGTTTCCTCCAGACACTAAGCACGTACCTGGGCGGTGATCTTCTATTCCGTGGTCACCGTTTTCTACAACTGTTGGCCCAGAAGCTGAATTATCTGCAAGAAATCAGAGGAAATGTTAGCACTGGATGAAGTTCATCCTAATCCATTGTAAGGACAATACCAATGTTATCAAACACAGATAAGGGGTTTTTTTCCCCCAGAATTATTTTTGAAGTAAGTTAAGGTACCCACACAGCACTGAGTCACTGCAGCTTAAAGCCCAAAAGGAAGAGCTTTTCAACCACAGAAAACCTAGTGGCATGAAGGAGACTCAAGGCATAACAACTAGAAGCTTCTTCATCTAGTCCTACCATCGCTTCAAACTAAGCCTTCCTAAGGGAAAGGAGGTCAACGGCTGTAGCAGGCAGAGCACTGCCAGCAGGCTGAGTCCCTCTCTTCGGCACTGCTGAGACACATCTGGAGCGCTGGGCCCAGTGCTGGGCTCCCCAGTACAAGAGACAGGACTACAGGAGAGCGGTCAGCAAAGGGCCACCACGATGATGAAGGAACTGGAGTGTCTCACACGAGCACAGGCCAAGAGAGCCGGGACTGTTCGGCCTGGCGAGGAAAAGGCTTGGGGGGATGTGTACAAGCCCCCAAAGGGGGGCTGTAAAGAAGCCTGGGGCACACTCTGCGGTGGAGTCCAGTGGCAGAACAAGAGCCACCAGGCGCAAACTAATTCCCCAGAATTTTTAAGCACTGGTCCACTTCAGCCATGACTAGTTTCTCGCAAAGCTACCCTAATACTACCAGAAAAAAGGACCAGAAGACCTCCATTTCAGTCCTGACAGCACACTGCTAAAGCAAGTATCAGGGAAAGATTTAGAGAAGGGTAGTTCAGGGCAGAAGACCACCGATTCCAAAAGACAGCGTACTTACCACCACCATGAGATTTAGTGTATCTTGTTCTGACATGGTCAGGATTTACACACTGAACCTGGAAAACAGGGCAGCGACACAAGCCCTGGAGCCAGCCGAGGCAACCTGGAACCACAGAACTGAGCTCTACGCCTGGCTTTGCCGTCTGCTCCGTGGGCTGCGCCTCAGGAAGGCCACTCTGCTAACGGGTAACTGCCTCCGAGTGCGTAATGGTTTTGAAAATGCTGCTTGGAAACCATCTTTGGGAATAATTAAGGAATTTAATTAATTAATTTTTTTTTTTTTTTTTAAAGCACACTTCTTGTTCAAGTACTCGAACAGTTCTTCCTAATCATCCAAATATGCCAGTGACGTTCTATATTCACCCATAATCTCTACACGGGGCTACGGAGGGTCAGTAACTGTAATCGCTTTGGCAAACTGCCTGAGGAATTTTATTTATTTTAAATCACTGCCTTTGAGATCAACTATGATCCTTACAAAAGTCACTGGATTGTGCTGGTATTAATACTGGAGCAGGTTGCCAGCAGCACAATATTTCTGCAGGTGACCAGCCCCCCGAGAGGTGACTGTTACAAGGCCATTTACCGATACTGAAGATACCACCCTTGCACCAAGTCTTAAAATATTTTCTAATATCTTCTCAAATAAACTCTGCTTAATTTCTAAGAATTTATCTCATCCTCCAGTTGTGAAATAGTGAGGTCACTGCACGAACGATAGTGAGTAGTACTAGTTAAGCGTAACAAGCAGCACGAGCTCTAACAGCAGTTCAGCTCCTCGGGCCATTAGTTCTGCTTAGTGTGAAGCAACACTTGGGGCAACGACTTAAAAAAGTCCTGCAAGTAAATAAAATAAAATCACTCCCAAAGAGAGACACGCTCAGTTACCCGGAGCTGCTGCTGCTGTCCCTTCCCCGAGCTCAAGCACTTTTAAAACAAAGCCACGCTAACCAGTGTACTTCAGACACAGCACTTCAGGGCTTAATCCAGCCCTCAGTAAAGCAAAAGGAAAGTCTCTCCAGTTACTTCAGTGGCTCATCCTGGTGTTTTATGAAAATTCAACATGAACTTGCCAGACAGCTTATAGGAAAACATACACCTACATCCTCTTCAAGTAGCTGAAAATACCACAAGAATCCCTGGACCTGTTTCTTAGCAGTTAAACACACCAGCTCCTCCTGCTGTCAGTCTTTACAAGGTCTGGTATCGACAGCAGAACTCTCCACTAGTAACTGGGAGAACTGCTGCCAGTCGCTGCATTTACGGATCAGTTCAGGCAAGGGGAAATCGGGGTCTTGGGATGGTTTATACAACACATCGTGTGCTCGGTCAAGCCAAGGTCTCTCCAAATCAAACACTGAACCAGGTGAAACCTAAAGAAGGTTTTAGGCTCAATAGTGGGTTCCCCAATGAGCAGGAGAATCAGAAATGCCATCTTTCCTCCTGCACTTCTTGGGAAGGATGAAAAGCAGGTGAAATTGTTTCCTTTACAGCTTTAGCTTTTTCAGAGGACAGGCTTCCAGAAAAATCAGGTCAAATCAAACAACTCCACCCAGCATTAGCAGTTTTTATTTGTGTCTCTGAAGGTCAGCTCCTTTGGAGCAAATCAGACTTGTTTTAGTCAGCTGGGGCGCAGCATGAAAGTACCCAGCAATCTTCTCAGGGCCAGGTCTCCTCCCCTCATATTCTAAATTGCATAAAAACAAAAACATGTCAAGATGTTGTAACTACATAATCCTCATCAGAATCACAAGATAGTATTTTCATCTGGCTAGTGGATCAAAGGATTGTTTTTACATAAACAAATTTAAGGCAGCATTTGCTAAACCGATAATCTCAAGCAAATGGGCAGTGCCAATATAAAAAGCCCTAATCTCCAGCGGTGACTTGGCGCAGCGCACACGGGAGCACAACCACAACCGAGCACGCTTCCACCACCCATCAGACCTGCAGCCCGCTCGGCAGTAGGCATGGGACACCGGGGGGGGAAAACCCCAGGGTGGGGCGGAGGGGCTGCGGAGGAGAGTCATTTTGCCCGTGTTAATCCCGTCACACAGGTGTGTGCACAGACTCGGCTGAACGCAGCTTTGTCAGAGAGCTTAGACAAGAACAGGAGTGGGAACCAAACCCCTGATAAACCGAGTGCCATACAGTCAAAACTAGCTGGTGACTCTTAAACAAGTAGCTTCAGCTATTTCAGTCCCTATGAATTTAAAAATTCTGTCTCAGAATGGCTTCTGAACAGCAGGCGAGCTCCTCACCTCCCAGAGTCACCAAAAAAAAAACGCTTAGAGGTTTGCTTGCCCTTTGGCATTCCAACATGACACAAGCACTCGGTCTGGATTCTCGCGCTTCTCTCTCTAACCATGTGAATTAGAGATTCTGAATGTAAACAGACGCCAAGCCAAGGCTTGCTTGGTCTTGTGTTCCGGGGCTGCCAGGGCTTTCCGGAGCACACACACGCTGTCCGATGGCACCAACAGAAGCAGCGCCGCACAGGCAGGGCTGGCGCCCAGGAGCGGGAAAGGGAGACCTGCCGTACCCATTTCCACTAGATTCCCTCTCCCCAGCCCCGCTTTCACACCTCTCCTTCTGAAATCGGAAGCTGAAGCTTGAAGGTTTAATCACCTTGTCTGATCGCTGCCTGCCTGTGAGGGGACTGGACGCCACGTGTGAGAGAACCCCCAGCAAAGTTCACTAACTGACCACAAATACTATGATCCTAAATCAGCGTAAAGCCACTGAGCGAGAAAAAGATTCATTCTGCTTTGTGAACTGTAGCAACTAGATTAATTTCACCACTTTAGTTCATAAAACATGGAAAGTTTCAAGAACACTTTGGCTTATCAAGACAATACTTCAGGCACTCCTTCCTCCTTAAGAAAACAGCAGGATATCATGTAGTTAAGCAACTCAACCCAAGACCCAGGCAGCTTTACAACACGATCTGCACTTCAAACAAAAAGCACTAAAAACCCCTCACGCTGAAACACGCTCCCGACACACTATGGGTTCAAGGCCCTGCACCGAGTGACTGTGCAGCTTCTGCAGCCGGGCCACGAGGTGCTGCGGAGGCAGCTGCAATCTGGGGCAGAGCACACACCACACACCCAGCTGAGGTGCGCGCCTTTGGTATCACCTGCGTCTCTCCAAACTGTTTTCAATGTTTATTTCCCAAGTGTCTGACAGACCTGAGAGCGCACTCGGATCATGCTCGATACTTGGTTTTGTACAAAAAAAGACAATGCAGTGATTTATACTGACCAGAAGCCGTTACAGCTTGGGGCAGGAATGGGGATGGGCAGACTTCGAGAGGCAGAAGGTGTTTAACACATCATATGAGATAAAACTGCAATCACCTTATCATCATTTGCTGACTTCTCCTAAAACTTTGGGGTATATGGAACACTCTCCATCTTCAGTTTTGTGTGTGACAAAGTGTTTAAACGTTCCTTTGCAAAAGCAAAGCCTGCTGCTCTCTGCAAGAAAGGCTCTTACTCCTAGCGCAGAAAGGGAGGTGAAAGGAAAGGAAACGCTGTGGTTTGGCCTGGGGTTTCAGGCCCTGGAGCCGTGTGCTGTTCCCACGCCAGGCAGGATGACCCGCTCTGCTCCACAGTCTGTCCAGCAGCATCCCACAGCGCCGGCAGAGCCATCTCGTGGCGAAAAAAGCCCCAAAGCCACAGCCCACAGCAAACTAAAGGAACTTTGTCACCTCCACCATGCTCAGCCTATGCTCCCCTATTAAAACACGGCAGCTGAAGTGAAGAGTCATCACCAGGCGAGTGCCCAGCGTGAGTGCAGGAACCCAAAACAGGCACGTCACTGCGTACAAGGCCACAAATGGTTATGCCGCAGACCTGGCTTTGTACACCACACAATCAGACGTTTCAGACACAATACTGATCCTCACTTGAGCTAAAACGTGTCACAGGAGCGCTGCCGCCTGCTGCAAGGTACTAAGGCACGGCCTGGAACGTGCTCCCACCCAAACACCTCTTCCTTCGCACCTTGGGACAGATCCCCCCTGCTTCACACGAGCACCCCAACGAGAACTGCCGCTGCAGGCTCCACGACTTGAACTGGAAGCTCCTCAGTACCCTCTGAACTCCTCGGAGCCGAGCAGGAAAGCGAGCTGCAAACAGCGCAGCACACACCCAAAGCGACCCTTCGGCATTATGTAAAGGCAACAGTGTCGTAAGAAGATTACTCCAGAATTTGCCAAATTATGATGTCCAGCCAGGTGCTCGAAAGAGTAAAACCCTTTCTTCTTAAGCTATGCCTTTCCAATGATATTTTAAAGTTAACTGTTATTGGAGCTTTATTGTAGGACAAATTTGTAGGTGACCATACAACTGCTCATTGTCTCTCTCCCTCTTCTTCTCCAGCTCTCTGCACTCACTTGGCTCGCCCAGGTCCTTGATAGGGCCCATCTGATGGTTAAACTTGTCTAATCTGGCTCCTGGGTTTAGGAAAAAAGTGAAAGAAAAACCTTGAGCAGAGATGGAATAGCTAGAGCCTGACAGGACATATGATTAAACCTCTTCTGACTGGAGAAAGGCAATCTCAGTAGCAGAGACCGTGCTGTCTGAACACATTTGTGCCTTTTAACATAAATAAATTAACAAGCAGGGGCTGAACAGCCTGATCCATGAGTGCTAGTCTTCTCCCTCAGGAAAAAGAAACAAAAAAAACCCCAACCTATTTGCAGTCCTATCTGGAGCCAGGGACACAGAACTCTTGCTGCCTTTCACACAGCAGTCCCCCTTCCCAAAAACTTCACGTCACACTCAAAGCACTGCGCTAGAACCGCTTCACACCCCCACTGGGGCCTTGTAATGTCTCACCCAGCCTTGTTTATTCTACAGCTGCAATAAAAGCAAGTACATTAAGCTTTACTGTATTTTTTTAAATGGTTAGAAACATTGACTAGATCTCATGGAAGAAATATCCTGAAGTAGGAAAGAAATATCCTGAAGAAGTATCCTTATCACTTCAGGGAAAAACAGATGAGACAAACTAAGACATAACAGCATCAAATCCTAAGACTGGCCTGCAGTAAACTGACACTTTAGAGCTGGGGAGCTTGACAGTCCTTCCCCTCCTCGTACAAGGTGGGAAAGCTGAAAAACACCATCTTACCCACTCGAGGCAAGCAAGCTCTCCGATTTCATCAGTTAGGGTCTCGTTTTCCTCTTGCCAAAGATTTAGATAATGCTCGTAACTGTTCTCCAGCTATCCCAAAAAAGGGAAAAACAAGTGTCCAAACCAAGAACAAGAAACTGCATCTCCCCTTGCCACGTCAGAGGGAAACTAGTTCTGCCCAAGGAGACAAACAACTGGTTGAACAGCCAGGGAAGGCACCGGGGAGGGGAAAGGGGTTGGAAAAGCCAAGAGATGCAGATGAAGAAAAGAGTCTGGCCCGAAGGTAACCTGGCCTAATACTCCAAAATCTCTGCCTCAGGTCTGCACACAGAACTGGCAGTTTTCTCACAGGGCAGTTCAATGAGTCGATCCCTTCAGTACCTTATTTTACAGGCTGAAGAACTGAACAGAAGGTAGAGCAGAAAAGCAAGAAACAGGATTTGATCTCAATCTTTGCTTTTAAAATAAATCGCTCAGACTAAAACTAGCAAGGTCCAAGAGCCCTGTGTCAGCAGGCCTAGCAACATCCAGTAAGTGAAAAAGTGTTCTCTGCTGCTTAAGTGACACCGCCTTTTGGTCTTGTGCTTTAGACACTTACGTTCCACCTGAATACCGTCTGCGTGGGGCTTGCTTTTTGGTTCCTGGCTCCCAGGTTTTGCATCGTCATCATCCAGCAGAGGAACATAGTCTGTTTTATCTACTGTTTCTCCAACCACATCGTCAAATTTCTCTGCTTCCAGAGTGGCAATGAAGTCCCTTTTCACTTCTTCCTCAATCTCGGGAGGTGGCTCTGTCAGAGCATCCGCAAGACTGAGGTTGTGATCCAAGTCAGCCATGCTTTAGCACCTTTGCAACCTGAAAAGTGAAGTGGGGAAGAAAAAGAAAATAACACTTTAATAAGAGACCTCCTGAGTTTATCTGGAGTTTGATGTTGACAACTGTGTGCCTCCTGTGCCCTAACACAATAAGAAACATTCGCTTTAGCACTCGGTAATTCCCAGATGTTTACAAAACCCCACATCAGCACAGAAACAAACAGCTAGATCATCTAAATTGGGTTTTACTGCGTGAAGGTTACATTTCACATGACATTTTATCAGAACCTTACAAAAACAGGGAAAAAGAAAACACCCAGCACCTGGCCCGCACAAACACCATCTTGCACCGATTTCTGCTTTGCCCCAGATTGGCGAGTTAATTACATATCCCCAGGAGCAGAGAGACAAGTGACGCAAGCAAATTTAGTTCTTGGGTTGGACTCCACCCAGGCTCCCCTATGGAGATTAGGATTTTACATAATCTCTGATGTATACTTTGGCGATGCTTTTGATCCCTTTGATAGGGTCCTCTAGCGTGTTTATGTCCTCAGCAAACCTCGCTAATACCAACAAACCCCCTCTAGCCCTGGGATTTGTGCTGGAAGGTGAAGTTTTAATAACGCTTACATGAAAAAAAAAATGAAGTACCCACATACACATGACACACAAGCTATACATTGGAAATGAAGGAGAAAAATCACCACTGCTCTTTGCTTCCCTGCTTTGCAGCTCAGCATTCAGCTGAACCTCCTGGCACTAAACAGAAAGTGCACCTGAACTGATTCATCTGGTTTGCAGCTAAAGCTTTCAGGTTGGCACAACGAATACACCCGTAAACAATTATTTATTTTTTCCACATTTCATCCTTTTGAAGCCGTTATTAGGAAGCCCACAACTGCTGATGGGAGTTTACAGAAAGCTGTGCCAGGGAGCAGGACCCACCACTTCGGGCTGACAAAAGGCCCAGTTCTGACAGCGTCTCTTGGAGCAGCGCTAGTCAGTGCTCCCCGTGTGCCCGACGCTGTCCTGGCAGCAAAGGTATCACGAGCTCCAGTCACACGTTTTAGCCCTTTGCAGAAATTGTCTGGTACAAACTGTGCAGACCAAACCCTTCAAGGGCCATTAGCATCTGAAGTCACATACTCGCAACTCCTACTTTAGTAGCTCAGCTTTGTTTAATTTTGATCTCTGTCTGGAAGCACAAAGCCATTTGATGCTGATCTGTGTTACACTCGCTCTCACACGCACAACCTGTGTGGAGACCCTCCCTGTTAGTAAAGATTTACACCACCTTAGGAGTCCGGCCAGCCAAGGCAGCGGTGCCTGGGTGAGAATCAGCAGGGAACAAGGACATGGAAGCAACAAGCTCGGAGTTCCAACAGCACACCCATCCAAACAAGAGGCATGGAGCAGCTTGGGTCAAGTGAGACACCATCTTATGACCAATCCTCCCCACACTAGACAAGAGCCACCAAGCTATACTAGGAGAAAATCAGAAATAGAGCTGAAGATACAGAACCACATCCATGAAGCGGCACAGACGCTCAGGCGAAAACACAACGGGCACTTGTCTGCGTCGGGTAACGAAGGGCTGACCCAAGCGGCCACGGCGCAGCAGCCCAGGGTCGCTGACTTACATGGTGATGGCAGAACACAGCTCCTCTTGTTCCAAAAAAACAAAGGCTCCTACTCCTTGAACTACAGGAAATTCGTCGTCAGCAGTGTACGGCCACCGACACATACCTACAGGCTGGAGCCTGCGTAAGGCAATATTTCACATTCTTTATAAACAATGGTTCCCCACTGACACTGCTGTTTATGTAATTGCATGCGAGTATATTATGGAAACTAATTCAGTTAAACCTATTCTTTTTTTCTTTAACAACAAAAGGTCAGACTTTGAGCCAGATCAGCAGCAACTTCAAGCAGCAACTGCAGTTCTTCTTGGGTTAGATAAAGGCCCTGCAGAACTGCCACTTCCTGGGAACCTAGAGGTGACAGGTTTGGAGCTCTGAACCCTTTGTGCAGGGCCACAGCCGAATGAATCAGGGTTATTTAAAAAGCCATCTTTACACGTGAGTGAAAGAGTCTTGTTTAAAAGAAGCTGCTTTCAGAGAGAGTTCTTGACCATTTTCAAGACAGACCATCGTACAGATCTGCACACAACCGCCCCCATTACCCTTTACCGAGTTTCAACCAGGGAAGTAAGTTGCTTCTAGGAGTTTTATCTTTGCATTGGCCAGTCCCTTCGAAGGAGGAAATGGGGCTCAAACATCCTTTTCTTCTGAATGTTTCATTTAGCATAAGGAAGAAACAATACTGGAAATTCTCAACAAGCTGCTTCATGATGCCACCTCAAGACTACGGTCAGAAAATAGCTACAGAACACCCAATAACTTTGGGAATGAGCAAGTAGAGGCTGGAGTGAACACAGCGAATGCCAAAAGAGAAATCTGACTCCTGTTCTCCGCAGCAGGCACGCCAGGCCGGGCTGGATCAGACTTTGCAGATATCACAAGCCCGTCACGTGTGTAGTATCGTATCTGGTTCTGCCCCAACGCCAGCACAGCAAGGTTTACCCACCAAGAACCTGAAGCTTTACGGAAACGGCATTTAGGAAAACCTCTCTTCAACCCCACTCCCAATGCCCGTTAGCAGTAGATGACAGTCTGTAAACCGAATTA